TTCTGATGTCATTCAAATAATACACTATTGGTTTTTTCTGTGTTTATTAATTGAATTTAGAGATTAAACTATAATTTTTTGGAAAGTATAATTTTATGCTATATAGCTAATTTTATCAACTTCTTGTGATCGCGAATATGACTATTATATCTAGATTTATTGCTAATAGAATAACAATTTGTTGCTACAAACATCACTCTAAGTTGCTAAATAAATTTATATAAGTTTAATCTCTAAATTCAATTAATAAACACAGAAAAAACCAATAGTGTATTATTTGAATGACATCAGAAATCTCATAATTTGATCTAAAATTAATAAGCAATATCTGTAAATGTAATTATGGAGATGGAAAAGAAATAAAATCTTGAATAGATAATTCAGACAAAACACTGGAGGAATTAATAAGAGGTTTTTGTCGTTGTCTTTGTATTTCTCAGCAAATATTATCTATCGTGCTAGATGTATTTTCCAGACCTAACCGAACCTTCCAGAGACAATGTACAAAATAAAGCACCAAAATTTCATCTGACGAATTATAAGGAATTTGAAGGTTGAAAATTTCACGGACCTGACACAGTGGAGGCCCAGGCTGATCCATTATAAAAACTCGAAGATTTGTTTCTATTCAATGCAAACCTTATTTTAAATAATGATCAATGATATAAAGATCAATTGATATGGGACTCACCATGAGCTTGAAGGAGAAATAATTCTGTATCGCATATAAAGTAACACCAAAATTGATATATGCGTGGTACGCATAAGATAAACGCCGGGGAATGTCATGGGTAAGAATAATTGTGACCTCAAGAAAAGTGTGACGATCGCATTATGAAACCCGTTCCAAATGCATGCATGAATTTGCTCACAATAATGAATGAAAAATGTTCAAATAGGAAAATAAACAAGATTATCGAATAAGGTTTCAAAGTGGCAAGATAAAAATAGTAAAATAAAATAAATAGGTGAGTAAAGCGATTAGAGTCATAAAAATAGATAATAAGATAAAACTTACCCGACAATGGCAAAGGCAACTTTGAAGGCGAAAATAATGGGATTTCAGAATGGAACCTGGAAGAAAAATAATAATAATGTGATTAGTAATTAGTGTAGAATTGTAATTATAAAAGGATAAAGAATTTTTAATAAAGAATTTACCTTTCGCAAGACCTGAAAAATAATTAGTAAGGTCGAAGGTTAGCCCAAATCGTATCACCTCTTTTGAGACCAAATCCCCATAAACTTATTGTTGTTGTTGAGTCAAATCGGCTTGAGTAAGAGACTCGCTGATTTAGTCTGTAGCAATGATGATAAAAGGGATAAACCTGAAATATTCACCGGTTATCAAAAACCCTCTGACATGGAAGATATAAATAATTCAGAAAATTTTCATGAATATTCGTTAGTTATCAAATATCTGCAGAAGTGAGAAATTCTGACGGAATGCTTCAAATTATTAATTGTTGTCGACGTGAGATTCGAAATGAAAAGGATGAAATGCTTCTTAGATTTGGTAATAAAAATGAGAAAAGGATGGATTGAGAGATGCATTCCTGATTCAGTCAAACACGATGAGAAAGTTAAAATGGCATGTTAAAGTTAAGGAAATTCTGTAAGGTTATGTAATTTGAGTTGCCGAAAGATCAGACCTGGAAAAAGGTTGTCACCAACATTGAAATATGAATAGTATATCTGGAGATCTATTAGCAACGGAAGTCTTGGAGAGAATGGTGGTAATTTAAGCAAGCGGAACGTGTATTGTTAGTGGTTAAAAGTCAACAATTAGAACAAGTATCAGCAATAATAATACCTCAATCGAGATAAAAACTTGACAGTATGCACTACGTATTAATTTTATTAACAATACTTGCGTCAGATTAAAAATGGCCTAAATTAGAGTTAGGGTGAGGATTTAGCAAGGCTAATTATTGCAGATCGTTTTAATGCTGGTCTAATAATTTATCTAATCCCATGACTGTTCGGCTCATGCAATTTTATTGGATAATTACTATATTTGGTAATTAAGGAGTTGTTTACTTGCTACGAAAAAAAAAAAAATACGTGATAAATTAATAGACGTGCGAAAAAAAATTAATTTGTCATTTTCGCTCCTTGTTATTCCTACTACAACAAAAACTACCGTTTTTTACATTAAAAATATCAAATGCGACATGTTCCTTCGTGTTGTTTATCCGAAAAATGAACCCACTATGGGTGTGGGTCGCTCGGGTTCATTTAAAAATTCAATTTCTTCGAATTTCTTCGGAAAAGAGCTTAAGGAACAGTATTTTTATATTCGTTTTTTTTAGAATAGTTTTTTTTTTTTTTTCTTTTTCTTGGAAGTTTTTTTGGACCCCCTACCTAAGGACTGTTAAATACCGGATGAGGTATTGCAAG